TTGCCTTCCTTGTGTATGTTTCTTCAAAGCAACGCTAATTCAGTCCCTTTTTTCTTCATTTTCTCCTCATTTTTCTCCTGACTGGAATTTTATTTTTGTCTGATTACAGGATTCTGAGGTCTTGAAAACTGGAATAATGTCCTCTGAGCCAGCCCAATGAATTTTTTTTTTGTTACGACTCAGGCTTCCTCTGTGTACAGATGAGCAGTTTTTGAGAATGGATATTTGCATTAAGGTTGCGGGCATCAGAAGGGCACTCACCTTGACAATTCCTTCCTCTGACTAACTGGTAGCCATCCGGACACATGCAGGAGAACCGGCCTGGTTCATTGACACATTCGTACTGGCACATAAAGCTGGAGGCTCTGCATTCGTCAATATCTGCAACACAGTACAAGAAGGAGGGTCAGGCTGAAATGGACCGTTCTCTGCCAGCTTCGTCAGTTGATTCACAAGCTGAAAATTCCATCTGTGTTTACAGTATTTTCAGCAGGGGGGGGAGAGGACCCTATTTGTCCTAGTCCCTACTTAATAGGGACATGGTGGTGCTGTGGGTTAAACCACAGAAGCCTCTGTGCTGCAAGGTCAGAAAACCAGCCATCCTAAGATCAAATCCACACAACGGAGTGAGCTCCCGTTGCTTTTCCCAGCTCCTGCCAATGTAGCAGTTCAAAAGTATGTGAAAATGCAAGTAGATAAATAGGTACCACCACGGTGGGAAGATAACAGCGTTTCGTGTCTAGTCGCACTGGCCACGTGACCACGGAAACTGTCTTCGGACAAACGCTGGCTCTATGGCTTGGAGACGGGGATGAGCACTGCGCTCTAGAGTCGGACACGACTGGACTAAACGTCAAGGAACCTTTACTTACTAGTAGCATCTAATGCATTTGGCATGCTGTCTGGCAGGGGTTGAAAAAGTTAATGTTTTTGGACTGTAATGCCTAGTAACTGCCAGGCATCCCATAATCCAGACAAGTAACTTTCGCAAGCTGTAATGACAACGTAACGCGGTCAGTCATTTAAAGGCTGAAATCCTGTTGCTTAGCATAGAAAGCTGTAATGAGAGTTAGGCCTACTGAATTATTCTGCTAAGCAACAGGATTTAAGCCAAGGGACAACACTATTCCTTTATTCATATAACTGTAATCTTTAGTTATTGTTACAGTTATGGAGAGGACCTTCACTCAGTTTTGGACAAGTGATGGCCTGCGTTGTTGATTCACAACCTTTACGAGTACAGATCAAAGTACTACATTGTGTTTGTGTTTGTGTTGAAGAGATTGCGTTTTGTACCCACAAGCCTGAAGAATAGCATTTGGAGGTTTCTTAAAAGAAAGGAACTAAAAGGAACTATTTTAGTTTTCTAAATCTTAGTTACATTTTAATTATTTAGTTAGTTACTCATTTTCAAAGTTCTAATCTTAATGCTTGTGTATGAGTGGGGAATAAAGAGGCCAGGAGCCCAAAGGGAGAGGAATTGACCTCTATTTTCCCAGCCTTTCTCCATTTCACCATCGTTGTCGGTTCTCTTGCCTTGGCCATCCTCTTGAGGCCATCAATCTCCCCACAGCTCCATAAAAATGATATAATATCACCACACAGACAGCAGCTTCATTACTACCCGGGAGAGGGGATGAATGCTAACTTAAAAGGTCACAACAACCATAGGCTAAGTCACCTTGAATATTTTGACCAGTAGTGCACCACCAAAGATGGCCGACACATTCTGAGATATTTGACTACGGGAGCAAGGGAAGGGGAGAACAAATGCTAGTGCATTCGTATCTCTTGATCACCTTTTCACTAGAGATGGTAAGGAACAAATCTGAGAGAGGGCAGCTTGTGGATTAAGGCGAGGAGACTCACCTCAAAATTTGAAGATGGAGACATCTCCTTTTCCTCATCCCTGTGAAGAGGACCATGAATCTGTGCGTAAACCATGTTCCCCTCATCGATTAGGTCAGAGTTTGGGGAGATTATTTTTGAGCCAAAAGGTCCCAGAATCTTTTAGCCAGCACAAAGTTGATTCACACAATACAATGGGAAGGTAAGACCATTTATATCCCACGGGTTTTAATAGGAAGCATCCGAATGGATGCTGTATTCTCCCATTGAAACCAGAAGAACTCTGGAGAACTCCACAGCTCGTTATATTTGTGAATTTTAAGGTTCTCATAAAAGCGTCTCTCAGCATTCAATTCACTCACCCCTCTAAAAATCCCACCTTTAAAAATCCCGCCACCTCTAGAAAAAGGTCACTCACCGTCACAGTTGATTCGGTCGGGGCTTAACTCGAAGCCTTGATTGCACTGGCAGAGGAAGGAACCGACCACATTGTAACACAGTTGTGCGCATGGGTTGCTGGTCTCGCATTCATTTATATCTGCAAAGACAACAAGGAAACATGACCATTTTTACATGCCCACAATACTTCTCATGTGCAGTATTCAGTTGCCTGGAAGACAAATCTGGGTTCTTCCAGGCCGGTAATCTGTTTTCATCAGTGTACCAGGTTCTGCACTAATACTCTTGAGTATTTTCCCTGCCACCAATACGACACACCTCTTGTCTCGCTTAATACAGTGACTTTTGCTGTGACCTCAGTATATGCGTATATATGAAGCATGGTATAGTACCTGATATCCAGGTATACTGTTGTTATTATTGCCATTATTACTATTGTTACTATTATATACTATTCTTAAGGGATAGGATACAGGCAGGTCTATGCCTGGAAATCCATGTAACTTCAAAGTGTTGAATTTAGGCTGGATCAAGCTGGGAGCAATGTATAAAATTTTTATGCGAAAGTATGGCCATGTGCTGTTGATGTTGTTATGTGCTATCTAGTTGGAACTGACTTATAGTCACCCTGAAAGGGCTTTCAAGGTGAGATATTTAAGGAGTGGTTTTACCAGTGGGACATGGTGGCGCTTTGGGTTAAACCGCAGAAGCCTCTGTGCTGCAAGGTCAGAAGACCAAGCAGTCGTAAGATCGAATCCATGCGACGGAGTGAGCTCCCGTCGCTCATCCCAGCTCCTGCCAACCTAGCAGTTCAAACGCATGTAAATGTGAGTAGATAAATAGGTGGCACCTCGGTGGGAAGGTCACGGCGTTCCGTGTCTAGTCGTGCTGGACACGTGACCACGGAAACTGCCTATGGACAAACACTGGCTCTACGGCTTGGAGACGGGGATGAGTTGGACACGACTGGACTAAATGTTAAGGGGAACCTTTACCTTTACTATACCTTTACTAGTTCCACACCCACCCACCCAGTGAGTTTCCATGGCTGAGCAGGGAGGGATTTAAACCCTGGTCTCTGGAGCCCTAAGCTTTCGCTCCAGCAATTACACCAGACTGGGTATCTAATGATCATGGTTGTAATAAGGCAAATCTTAATACAGTATTTCGCATATGCACTCTGAATTTACAGACTTAAGTTCTTCCATGTTCAGGAAGAGAAAGCACATGAACAGGTCAGGACAAAGGGAAGCAAACAGTTCGGCGAATAAGTAGAGACCAGCACACATAACACATAGCCTGCTGAACACTGATGTTCCTGCAGAAATAACTGATAACATGAGGCAGCGACGTAGCAGGGCTGTAGCTAGGAGCCAGCGTTGAGCAGCTCTCAGGCCATTGTGGGAAAGGCATGGCAAAGGATCTGGTCGGTCAAAACTCATCATGAGCACTCCTCCTGGTTCTTGAGTTGGGGGCTCAGCACTGTCATTTTCCAATCAGATACTATTTTGTAGGACCATTAAGTCACCGCACCATCCTGAACACACACACAGCCTCCTCTGGAAGCTAAAGCAGGGTTAGGCCGTCCAATCAGATACTATTTTGTAGGACCATTGAGTCACCGCACCATCCTGAACACACACAGTCTCCTCTGGAAGCTAAAGCAGGGTCAGGCCAGATTAGTACTTGGGATGGGAGACGAAAGACCTTCAGGTAGGACGAGCCAAACAAATGAACACTCCGTCCTGCCTTTCGGTAGCTACTGCCCGTCAGAATTGCCAATGCAGAGCGAGATGGATCAAAGTCCAGCTCAGCCGAAGGCACCTTGCTATATATCCCTCTTCCTGACTGTTATGTGTTGTGTGTGTTAATGTGGCTTTTTTTTTTAGTGGCTGTCTTGGAATATAAAAACTGTTGTCCCTAAGGAAACTGCAGGAATGTTACTGAGTTTTGGTACCCATGAAATGTGTCCTCCGGCCCCTTAAAAGTGAAAGAAGTATATTTCACTGGCCAACAGTTAACTGAAAGTTCACTTTTTGCACTTTCCCTGCCTCCCACGTGGGTTTTTTTCAGTTCTTAACTCAAATCTAAGTACTTAAGTCAAGTCAATATTTTCCTATGAGAGCGGTTCTTAAGTCAAAATGTTCTTAACTCAAGCCGTTCTTAAGTCAAGACCCCACTGTACTTGGCATGGGAGACGAAAGACCTTCAGGTAGGACTAGCCAAACAAACGAACACTCCATCCTGTCTTTGGGTAGCTGCTGCCCGTCAGAATTGGCAATGTAGAGCGAGATGGGTCAAGGTCCAGCTCAGCCGAAGGCACCTTGCTATATATCCCTCTTCCTGACTGTTATGTGTTGTGTGTGTTAATGTGGCTTTTTTTTTTAGTGGCTGTCTTGGAATATAAAAACTGTTGTCCCTAAGGAAACTGCAGGAATGTTACTGAGTTTTGGTACCCATGAAATGTGTCCTCCGGCCCCTTATAAGTGAAAGAAGTATATTTATTTGCTTAATTTGGAGAGACACTACCAAGATCTATCTTCACATCTAGCTCTCTGTCTCTCTTATAAGTCAGTACCCTTAAGGACTAGAATCCTTAAAATAAAATCCACAGTATTCTATGCAGTAAATTTACTTAAGCAGAATCTTGTGTGCAAAGTTTCTGACTTTTTGAAGGAAGCAGTACAAAGTTTTTTTTCTGTAACTTATCTTTAAGTGATCTGTTTCTGATGTGCTCCCATTATTCTTGGTTCTAAAGATGATTCCACCTTTGTAGCCATGTGCTCTGTATGTTTTTAAAGCATCGTCTAATGCCCTAGCGTGTTTACTTTGTCCAAGTCACTGTTTCTATTCTTAACTCGTTTTGGTTTCATGGTCCTAAAGCCGGGCCAAGCTGCCTGGAGCAATTTCTCGATTAGCAGAGGATAAATTTAATAAAAACTAAACACCTGCTGTCTGGTTCGTCTGCCAAATTCCACAAGTTCAGAAGCGTGGCGGATTACAATTCCTGAGTTGTATGACAATTAACGCACAAAATGAATGTGCACTGCAGTGTGGAACCAGGAAACACATTTGACACATTCACAATACCACCTGTGTGCATGTATGGATTTTGGGCGAAATACTACAGAGTTCCCAATTTCATACAGAGAAGCCTTGGAAATGTAAATTTGGACTATAACACTCAGAATCCCCCAGCCAGCAGAAGTTGTAGTCCATAATAGTAACTTTCCCATGCTTTATTTTCAACTTGCAGATGATCACAAAAGTAGTTCAGACTCCTGTTCCAAACAATAGGCTTCCCCTCTGCCCTGAATGCCTTATTTCTGTATTCACAGGAACATTATAGACAATTTTTTGAATCTTGCCCTGTGGACACCCTAATCAAGTCCTCTTTCATCGTCTTCAGCAACAGGAGACTAGTCGGCTGCATCTTGCACCTGTAGAAGGCCTATCCAGTGTGTTGATTCTGTATCCCCATTTTATTAAGGAGACTAGGTCAGTGTGTATACACGGCTTTCTAAGGCTATGGCTTAGGCATCCATTCTGATTTCTAAGGCTATGGCTTAGGCATCCATTCCAAATAGGGACGTGGTAGTGTTGCGGGTTAAACCACAGAAGCCTCTGTGCTGCAAGGTCAAAAGACCAGCAGTTGTAAGATCAAATCCACGCGACAGAGTGAGCTCCCGTCACTTGTCCCAGCTCCTGCCAACCTAGCAGTTCAAAAGCATGCAAATGCGAGTAGATAAATAAGTGCCACCTCAGTGGGAAGTTAATGGCGTTCCATGTCTAGTCACGCTGGCCACGTGACCACGGAAACTGTCTATGGACAAACGCTGGCTCTCCGGCTTGGAGATGGGGATGAGCACCGTCCCCTAGAGTCGGACATGACTGGACTAAATGTCAAGGGAAACCTTTACCTTTACCTAGGCATCCATTCAGACTGTCATTATCCTCTCAGCTGCCCATGGGTGGGTGGGGGAGGCAAAAAAAAAATCTTGAGCAAGAGAAAGGAGAAATAAGTCAGGCCAGAAGCCGTGCTCAAGGGATGACTCCCCCCCCCCACGATCTTGGAAAGGGGTAAGGAAATGTGTTCCCACCATTAGCCATACTTTAATACCAAGGAGATTTATTCTTCATTTCTGCTAGAAAAAGAAACAAAGAGTAAGAAGGGGTGAAAACCAGACATTGGAATATTTGGAGGGGGGAAACTATTTTAATGCAAACGAGGGTTGTGCTTCTCTTGGTCATTAAATGTTACATTCCAGTATATTTTTCCTGATGCCTCAGCAGGTGGGTGAATCTATAAATCCTTGATCTAGAGAAAATCGTGATAAGGCTTCTCAGCATGCAGCATTTTGAGATTTATCTGAAGGTGTTTATTACTTTGGCTGTCGGTTCTTTTATCATTCCAGTACATGCAGGACAGCTGCCTTTGAGACCAGCAATAGTCAAGAGCATTCTTGCACTTCAAAATGGTGAGCTTAATTTCTTGCTAGTATGATCCTGGGAGGTCCATTTCATACCCATGGGTGTCCTGGCGTGCACCCTAATGTGAAAAATAGCAAAGGTTTCTAGTGTATACAGTAGTTTAGATATGTGACTCAGTAACCAAACTCTTGTTCGCGAGATTAAATTTGCCTTTTCTACAAGGATCGGTTTCAAAGTGGTACAGATTTTGCACCAAACGAAAAGCTTCCTTTCAAAATCATGACACAATTCTTCAATATTTGAGAGGTTTGAAGGTTATGAATATACTGCAGCTTTAACTGCAGCATCAAACAGCTACAACTGCACAGTGTAGATTCGCTCCATGTGCCTTTTCCTTTTCCTTTCTTTTCTTCCCTTTCTCAAGAAGAAATGAAGAAGAATTCACATGGGGTGACAAAAGTCATCCAGTGACAGCCAGGTCAATGAAATATAAAGTGTACCTAATGCAGGGTTATGACAAAGAGCTATCCCAGGGATTAGCTTTCTTAAAATAAAAGGACTGGTACATTTATATTCCATTCTTAATTTCACATTTCCCTAAACTGCTCACCAATGGCCAGAGTTTCTATGCCAAAGGTGAGTTAAATATCCCAAGAAATCTCTTGTTTTTGTTACAGAAGTTTTTTTATCTACTAAGGACTGACTATCTATCTATCTATCTATCTATCTATCTATCTATCTATCTATCTATCTATCTATCT